GTTGATATGTATATGGATATTGATTGATTCATTGACGTTTATCAACTGTACATTATGTTGTAACAAAGAAACCAATAAGTTACAGTGGATATACATGTGATTAAAAAAATTATCCTGGCAGCTCCCAATAAAAGAAAGTAAAGCTGAAAAAGAAGGTATAGCTGAAGAGGAAGAAATAAAGTGGAAAGGTGAGAAATTACAGGAAGCTGTTCAGAAATCTAAGGGTGTTCACGGAGGAAGGCACGTAAGATCACTTTGAACGGGCAGGAGCGTTGGGAGATCACGAATGGAAAAGGGAAGAACATTCTAAACATAAACGGCAGACACGTGAAAAGAGCGTCGAAGGGATTCGGTTCTCAAGGGCTTAATAAGCAGAGGATTCACCTCACCTCGTATTGCACAAAAAAGGAAGTTTCTGAAATTGAGAACATCCCAATGTTATGTCGGGAAGGACGAAACCTCGATACGCCACAATGACTGTGGGCCAGTAACGGGTAAAAATGCCCCAAAAAATTGTGATGACTTTTTCTGAACAATCTCCAGAAAAAAATATTTTAATGATAAAAATTGCAAGAAGCAAATATTTGCAAATTGAAGTTCGAAATTTAATCGATTGAAGGTAAATTGATGAAAAATCTTTTGATAAATTTGCATATATATCCCATTAACTCGTTATTTCAGCCGAATCTTACAGTTAATAGTGCGAACAGGAACATTATTTCGAAAAGAATTACAATGACCTTTTTTCATGATTTTAGTAATTTATATTTTTATCTGATTAAAGTAAGTTTTACAATAAATATAATTTATGACTTACGTGAACAACTTTGTCAATAGCCCGAGCCAAAATTTTACCGAATCTCCCGACGTAGTTTCAACGTTTTGAACCTACATTGCTTTGATGTTCAAATTCTCCGCCGAATTTTCACTGTACTTTCCATTTATCTCAACGTGAAGGCCCATGGACGTTGAAAAACACTCAATATCCACCGTATATTGAACGTACTCTTAACGTTAATGACGTTTATATTCTGTTAACGTACGTTGTAAGTTTCGATGTCCACATTTGATTGTATCAAAGTCATTATTGACGATAATTAAAAAATTCATTACCGTGTTAAAGACTCACGTAACTGAATTATTAGTGTTATTACATTTATAACATTAGTTCGAAGTTCAAATAATCGTGCATCTGAAGGGTAAGGTGGGTCCAAGGGTCAGAAGGGTTAGTTGAGTATAAGGGTCAGATGAGTAGAAGGGTGAGTTGAGTCCAAAAGATTACGCGAATCTAAGGATCAGATAAGTGAAAGCCTCAGTTGAGATTGAATGTCAGTTGAGTTTAACGGTGAGCTGAGCCTGAGGGTCAAAAGAGTTCGAGAGGTCAGGCAAATTCAAGGATCTGTTTTGTAAGGGTCAGATAATTAAAAACCTCAGTTGAGTTCAACTGTCAGTTGAATTTAAGGGCCAGTTATGTGTAAGGGTCACTTGAGTGTATGGGTCAGATGAGTGCGGAGGTCCTATTTGGCCTGAGAGTCAGATGAATCTAAGACAAGGATAAGGGTCAAATGAGTCTGAGGGTCAGATCGATTCTGAGGGTCAGGTGAGCCAAAGGTCATCTGACTTTTGAACTGACCCTTAAACTCAACTATCACTAAGATGCATCTAACCTTTAAGCTCAACTGAGACTTATACTTATCTGACCCATACTCAACTGACCCTTATATTTGCCTGACCCTCTTACCCTTTTGACCCTCAGATTCGTGTGATTCTTCGGACTCGGCTGACCTTTATATCCATCTGGCCCTATGCTGTAGGTTTCACGCTTATTGATAAAAAACCCATCTGGCCCTCATACTCATCTAATCCTTATACTCATCTGACCCTTAGATTCATTTGACCCTCAAACTCAATTGACCCTTAAACTCAACTGACACTTGAACACAACTGGTCCTTAAACTCAACTGAGCCTTTTACTTATCTGACCCTTACTGAACTGACCCTTACATTCGCCTGACCCTTCGTATTCTTTCAACCCTTAGGTTCAACTGATCCTTAGATTCGCGTGAACCTCCAGACTCAACTGGCTCTCACACTTATCACGGATCTTTACACTCACTGACTTTTATATGAAGGTTCCGACCCTTAGATTCTTTAGAGCTATATGGTCTCTAATTCCCTCTCATCTGCTCCCCCTGCTCCTTTCCTCTTAATTTCCTGTATTACTCTATTGCCTACTTTCTTTCTGTTTTTTTCTATTTTTCTTCTTATTAGTTGCTTATATAAATCCGAAAAAAATACAACTAGCCACAATCAACTGTACAGCTTAGAAGCATACCGGGATATCCTGTAATCACTGACCTTGAGCAGTAGCGAGTAAAACCACAAAAAGGATGGGTGACCGAAAGGGAACACGGCAGAACTACAAGCAGAGATATCTCAAGAACCAACGAACCGATTCGTTTTTTTCTTTTTTTTCCATTTTCGTTTCACCGAGTTAATAATATTTACATTCTTGCCATTCTTCAACCGATTAATTTACGCAAGATTTAATCAATTAATCGATGTTAGAATGGAACTGGTAGTGTGAAGAGGATAGGGGGAGGAAGGAAGGTGTTAATGAGACCGTTAGGGGCGCTGTATTCTAGGGTTTTTTCGTATTGTGCGGTCGCACTGACTGAAGGGAACTAGGGTTTTCCAACATGGCGAAATGCCCGTATCAACGAATTTCTCTGTACCAAATAAATTAACATTTAACGTTTATAATCAAATCAAAAGTGTAATTCATTCATACCGACAAGAACATTGGCGCCCAACAGCTCGACTCACGCCAACTGAGGACGAATGAAAGCTCATAAAACCAGTGAAAAGTGCAAATAACTATCTGTCGTCATTGGCGGGACGATAGACGCCGTGGAACACATAGCAACTCCCGGTCGGTATGCATACGCGCCACGAGTCGAAGTGAAAAGTTTGGATCATTTTCAATGTCAAATATAAGCAAAAATCTCCAAAAAGTATTGTGAATCGAAGCATCATTCACGTGAGCATGCATCAAGCTCAACATTCACACGATCAACGTCTCGTCGAAAGAAAAATCATAACATAACCGTGCAAGCGACGCTTGAACGCACACATGTACACATCATATGTGAGAACACGGCATATTCATACGAGCGACGCTTGCACATCCACAAGCAAGCCGAGTTCTCACGCAACCATTTCATCGTGTCGGGGCGGCACACACACACTCACGCAACCGTTTCATCGTACCGGGCCGGTACACATTCATCTGCGTAACCATTTCATCGTGTCGAAGCGGCACACAGTCATCTGTAAGATCATTTCACCGTGTCGGGGCGGCACACATTTTCATCCATAAGACTATTTCCACCGTGTAGAGGCGGCACACACACATCACGCTCGAGATAACCAGGCGGATATATACACACATACACACATCAGACCACGCTTGAAGGACGACTTCGGGTTAGAACTTCAGGCTGCACTGATGTGCGAGACAATCTCCCCAATGTCAGGGCTTCGAGAAATTACAGGTTAGTGAGTCGTTCAATTCCTTTATCCTTATCATTTAATTTGCACAATGGCAAATCCCTCTCAACTTAGAAGAGATCGAGGTATTATCGAAGGACAAATCATGAGGTAAGAGACATTTTTCAATGTAAACCCTCAGGTGTCAGCAGCAGAAGCAACAGTCAGACTCAAGAAGCTTGACGAATCATTTAATTCATTTGCACTAGTTCAATCAGAAATCGAAGAGCTTCCCCCAGAAGATCCGGCGCCTCTTGCAACGTTCAATCAAGAAAATGAAACCGAGCATCAAGAATTTGATAACCGTTATTATGCAGTAGCCACAAAAGCCCAGGCAATTATTGACGTTGCACGTGAGGCCTTGGAAGACAGGCGAAGAGCAGCCAGACCACAATCACATCAAGACCAGAATGGTACCCCTCAGATGGTTGAGGTGCAGTAGAAGAACAAATTCAAACTCCCTGATCTCAAACTCCCAGAATTCGATGGCGATTTTTCCAAATGGATCATCTTCAAGAACAGCTACGTCACTGCCATTCATAAGGAAGCAGGCATTTCTCCGGTACGCAAACATTTGTATCTCATCGGCCTGTTACGAGGGGACGCGCTTAAGGTCATCGAGAATATTGACCCCTCTGGTGAAAATTATGAGCAGGCGTGGAAAATCCTTAACGACACATACGATAACAAAAAGATGTTGATAGAAAATCACTTGGAAGAACTATTCAACTTCCCATCAATAACCAAAGAGGACAAGGCTGAATCCATGAGAAAACTGATTTGGCATACTCAAACTCTGGCATTGCAGAAAACCCTTGGCCAGTCAGTGGATCAATGAGACACCATGATTATCCATCTTGCACGAAAACGACTGGATTATCCTCAAGCTCCAAGTGCAAAAGGTGCTTTGAATCTCACAACACACTTCTACACACAGATAAAAAATCTGCAGATAACTCAGCATCAGTAGCTAATTATTTGATGGATTCAGGCGATACAGACCTTATAATCAGTATCTACTGTACTCGAAACGCAGAATCATAGATTATACTGTCAACTGCACAACTGTACATCCAGGATACTAGTGGAGAATTCATAACTTGTCGTGCACTATTGGACCCAGGCTCTCAGTCCAACCTCATGACCAGCGAGTTAGCTACAAAGCTGAGACTCATTTCAACCAACCAGACTAGGCCTATCAGTGGCATCAACGATTTTGGACCCAAGAATCGATTCCAGACATCTCTCATCTCACTAAAGAGGAAAAATTCGGTGAAGAACAGTTCACTGATACAGTACAGAGGGACGACGATGGTTGATTCATCGTACGTCTTCCAAGAAGAGAACACGTTGAACTTGGTCACTCCAAGGATCAAGCATCACGTAGACTTCACGCTGTTGAAAGAAGATTCAATCGAGATCCTGAACTGCATGAAGCATAGAAGGAGTTCATGGATGATTACATCGACACCAATCACATGACTCTGATGAAAGATACAAGCGATGCTCCAGACATCTACTTCATTCTCCATCAAGCGATCGTTCGCCTTGAGAGCGTGACGACAAAACTCCGGGTTGTCTTTGACGCATCAGCTAAAACATCCAATGGAGTTTCTCTCAATGACAAACTGATGACAGGACCAAACTTGCAGCAAGATCTCTTCAAAATAACATTGAGATTTAGGACTCATGAGTATGTTATCACTGTTGACATTGCGAAAATGTTCAGGCAGATACTCATTCACCCAGAAGATCGATCGATGCAGCTTATTCTGTGGAGGAAGAGTTCAGATGAGCTTTTGAACACCCATCAACTGAATACGGTGACGTACGGCACAGCATGTGCACCATTCCACGTCATGCGGTGTCTTCATGAGCTAGCAGTACAACACAGATTAGAATTTCCCCTGGCATCCAAAGTCCTCGAGGAGGACTTCTACATGGATGACGTCCTAACAGGTGGAACGACACTTCAGGTAGTCATCGAGTTACAGAAAGACTTGTCTGAGCTTTTGATGAGAGGTCAATTCCCACTTCGTAAGTGGGGATCAAATGATCCCGGTATTTTACTCCATTTCTAGAATGAGAGAAAGATGGACAGTCTACTCACAACAGATAAACAGGATGCTCTGAAAACTTTGGGACTTTTATGGAACTCTTCATTGGACATTCTACAATGCAAGGTGGAACTGTCTGACAGACCAGCCAATAGCAAATGAGAAGTATTGTCACGAATTTCGCAGATTTTCGACCCACTCCGACTCGTCGCACCAGTTCTGATCAACGGCAAGGTATTGATGCAGAAATTGTGGAAAGAACAACTTGATTGGGATCGACCACTTCCCCAAGACTATCAAGATGTTTGGGATAAATATTATTCATCATTGACATTGTTCAATGTTCTGGAGATACCCAGGAATGTGAATCCACATAATGTTGAAGGCAAATTCGATTTATTCGGATTTGGAGATGCCTGAGAGCGTGCCCTTGGAGCATGTTTATACGCGGTCAGCACGGACCATCAGAGTCGACAACAGTCTTATCTCATATGCTCCAAGTCCAAGGTGGCACCTTGCAAAGTGATCTCAGTGCCCAGGTTGGAGCTTGCGGCAGCATTATTACTCACACAGCTATGTCAGACAATCAAAGTATTACTTCCTGATAAAATTGATAAAATGAGTCTTTGGAGGGATAACACGATTGTATTGGGTTGGATAAAGACAGAACCAAGTCTCTTGAAGACTTTTGTGGCTAACAGAGTTAGCAAAATACAAGAACTGTCACAGAATATCACTTGGCAACACGTGCCAACTGATGAAAATTCAGCTGATCCACTATCACGAGGAGTGAGTAGTGAGGACTTGAAGCATTACAGACTTTGGTGGCGAGGTCCATTGTGGCTGGAAGAGCCAAAGCAACATCCTACACGCCAGAGTGAGCCAGAAAGAGATTTACCTGAGCTGAAGCAAGCTTCAGTCACCCTGGTATGCACCTGGACGTCAGAACTACTCCAAAAGTATTCATCTTACCCGAAGCTATGCAGAATAATTGCTTATTGTTATCGTTTTGGTTCCTCATTGACTGGCAACAGGAAAACTGGTCCGTTGGGTATTGAGGAATTGCAAAAGGCTGAGACGACTGTCATTAAGTGGGTTCAACAAGAGGCTTTTTCAACGGAGATACGCTGCTTACATGAGGATCGTGAACTACCTCGTAAAAGCCCCCTGAGCTCAATGCGTCAATTCCTGGACCAGGAAGATCTGATTCGAGTTGGAGGAAGACTGAATAATTCTGCAATGACAGACCATCAGAAGCATCCACTCATATTGCCTCCGAAGACTCACGTAACGATACTTATTATGCGTGGAGAATACCAATGTCTTCGACACTGTCCTCCAGAGCAGCTGCTGCATGCGGTACGTGAAAGGTTTTGGCCAGTGAGTGGATGCAGAGAGGCGCAGAAGGTGGTGCGGAAGTGTGTGAAGTGCTTCCGGTTCAGACCTACGGTCCCTGATGTCCTGATGGGAGACCTTCCTGAAGATTGTGTCAAAGGACATTGTCATCCATTTTCAGTTACAGGTATCGACTACGCAGGCCCAATACAAGTCAGAGAGAGCAAACGTCGTGGCAGAATTCACATTTCAAAGGGATATGTAGCTGTTTTCGTTTGCTTCAGTACCAAGGCTGTCCATCTGGAACTGGTCACCGAGTTGGCTACTGAGGCATTCTTAGCAGCTTTGAGTCGTTTTACAGCACGATGTGGGCTCTGTTCCCAGTTGTTCTCTGATAATGGGACTAATTTCGTTGGAGCTTCAAGAGAATTTGAAGAAGTTTACGAATTCCTGAGCAGAGCAGAGCCTGAGATTTCAACGGCCCTCTCCCAACGCCGCATCGAATGGAACTTCATTCCTCCTCATTCTCCTCCCTTCGGAGGTTTATGGGAAGCCGCCGTCAAAGTGATGAAGTGGCACCTGCACACCGTCACTCAAGGTCGAGTCCTCACATTTGAGGAGTACAGCACATTGCTCACTGAGATCGAGGCGATCTTGAATTCAAAGCCATTGACTCCCCTGACAAATGATCCATCTGATCTCTAAGTCCTTACCCCATCCCACTTCCTGATTGGCGACTCACTACTCCAGTCTGTACAGACTAATTTTCTCGAGGTTTCAGATAATCATTTGTCTCGTTGGCAGCATTTGACAAAGCTGAAACAACAACTGTGCCAGCGTTGGCGGACTGAGTACCTACAGGAACTGCAGAAGAGAATCAAATGGAGCACATCAGGTGCTTAGATCGAGGTGAACTCGCTCGTTTTGATCATCGAGGATAAGGTACCACCCCTCTAGTGGCCCATGGGTCGCGTGGTGGAGATCCACCCTGGACAAGATGGCACAGTACGAGTGGTTACTGTGAGGACTCCCGCTGGCCTCTTCAAGCGAGCAGTCAAGAGGGTTTGTCCTCTTCCAATGGACGACGGAGTTTAGTCAAGATTTGAAATTTTCAGAGTCTTTTTGTTTTGTTAAAAATGAAGAATTTAATTGAAGTCGACTCATTTACTAAGAATTAAGTAGAGTCATTGGGTTACCGACGTCGGTGGCCGAGTGGATTAGACGCAAGTCTAGTGTGCGAAAGGTTGTGAGTTCGATTCCCTGTGGAACCGAATTTTTCAACGGAAGGCTCCGGCGAGCGCGAGGTTGCTAATAGAGGAACCGCCTTTACCGGCATCGGTTTTCTGTGGTTTCCCTATGCTACTTCTATGTTCTATAGAAGTGCGAATGCGGTACAGTGTAGAATCCACAGCCGCATGCATAGGGTTGGATAGAGTGCCGAATGGGACCCGAAAAAGGGACTCCGAGGCCGTAAAAAAAAAAAAAAAAGAGTCATTGGGTTACAAGTTAAATTCAATGCGAGGCTTAGATATTGAGCATTCATATTCTTAAATATTGTTTTAGTATCAGACTACATTCTTCCATTGTTTTCTCATTTATTTTGTTTGACTTATCCAATCTAAGTAAAAAATACATGTTATTACATATATCAATTGGAAAGAAGACCGTTCAAGGGACCCGGAATGTTAATGAGACCGTTAGGGGCGCTGTATTCTAGGGTTTTTTCGTATTGTGCGGTCGCGCTGACTGAAGGGAACTAGAGTTTTCCAACATGGCGAAATGCCCGTATCAACGAATTTCTCTGTACCAAATAAATTAACTTTTAACGTTTATAATCAAATCAAAAGTGTAATTCATTCATACCCACAAGAATAGAAGGAAAGAATGTACGGTGGAGGAACGTTGGGGATACATTTAGTTTCAACCTAATTTCAACGTACAATCTGGAAAAAATGGAAAAAAGAGATTTACGTCGAAAGTAGGTTGAATCCGTGTATTTGAGCCTGTACACTGGACAACGTATTTTCAACGTCCTAAACTCACCAGTGGACCTTGAAACTACGTTAGGAGACCCGGTAAAATTTCGACTCGGGAGGTTACACTTATGTATTCTTGCAATTGTTATTATACTAGCGCCGCTTGCGGCCGGGGTGTTGATGCCCCTTTCATTATGCCCTTTTTCCTGTCAGATTCGATATTCCTTTTTTCAATTCATTTTTTATAATCATTCTAATTGCAAAAAGCAACGTAACTGATGGAAATAATATGTCCCAATTTATTAGCTTTAAATTTTGTTAATTTTTCATATGGCAATAAATGACCTGCTCATGTGCTAATTGCTATGCTCACTGAATAAAAGTCCGATCTCAATTATAATCCACTTTCTTCTCGAACGTAAGCCAGAGAGTAGATTTCTGGTGAAAATTCATTTTTATAATTAGTTCCCTTGTTAATTCAATTAATCCGTTGTTCATATCATCAATATAATCCCACGCTTAGAATATCATCACCTAATGTTTTCAGCGCCAAATTAAAAATTAAAATTTTAAATAATTGTTTGACTTCTGCTCTATCTTTTTTTGAGAGTCTGAAATTCACATTAATTATTCAGATAATATTACATAATTATCATCATTTTTATTATTTGCAGTTATGGAATATTGAGTCAAAGAAAAAAAAATTCAAATAGAATTAAAATTTAGAGAGGAAAAATCGCGATCCGCCCAGCCGGGATTCGAACCCGGGTCTCCCAGTCACGCGCCGGGCGCTCTTCCAACTAAGCTACCGGGAACCACGGAAACTCTCTCACTCCAAATTCAACTCAGCACGCTGCCTAACCACCTTTAGGCATAAAATAAATTCAAATAGAATTAAAATTTAGAGAGAAAAAAAAAGCTTTTTTTGTTTAACCCTTCAGAACTCGCGCTATAAGCGCCGCGTCGCCTTTTTCAAATTTTCGCTTGCCTCTTGCAAAATTGAGCTTTCAAAAAATTGGAAAAATTAGAATGCCTAGCTTGAATCATTTAGAATGGATTCGCAAGGTTCTTATCCGCTGAAAATCCATCAAGGCTACGAAAAATAATAAATTGTTGAGGCTTATACGCAAAAGCGGCGCCGTACCGCCCAGCGCGAGTAACGAAGGATGTAAAAATTTTAATTCCGCTGTTGCTGTTTCCCGCTCGCCGCACGCTTGGCGCGTACCTATGAACGTGACAACGCTGCGTTACTGAAAGCACGGGCGGCGCAGCGCTCACCACGCGAGTAACGAAGGTCAGTGGCTGAGCGCGAGTTCTGATGGGTTAATCATATCAGAAATTTGTAATTTAAATATTGTTACTATTTGTTCAATGTGAAATAATCGATTATCATTTTCACTATGTTGCATTTAGATTCTTCTATACTCAAGTTAAAAAATGTCAGAATCTCTCATAATTCTAACTATTGATTCTAATTAACTTTGAAGGAAACCCCAGTAAACGCACCATTGAGGAAGTTGAATCATTCTATTTTCCTGTGGCCTAAAGGATTTGGGCAATTATAATTTGTTTATCAATCGAAAGTACAGCCTGATTTGGTACAGAATATTCATCGTTTAAATGAGAATTCAAGCAACTTGAAAAGTTCTCCGCTTTACATGCTGGTTAAAAGTGTTGAATTTCATTAAATTTACAGTGAAATTTGAAATTTCACGACTTTTTCCTCTCAAACTGAAGTAAATGTCTCTCGCCTGAAAATTACTACTGAACTGTCCATGACATTTGAAATTTTTTTCCAACACTATAATTACTACTTAGTCATAATTATTAGGGAACATTTTTTAAATCTTCTAAAAAAACATAGAAAGTCGACTGTTCTAAGTACGGTCGGAAAATTGCGATTTTCGGAGACCAGGACTTTTTTTGCTTCCGAATGGAAGCTTTATAATCATGATTTTTTTTCGATTTCTGAATTTTGGGTGGAAATGCCTAGAAATGTCACGAAACGTGAATGTGCGCATGTGTGTTCGTATGTCCAGAACTGTCCCCATAACTCGAGCATTATTGAGGCAAACATGCTGAAACTCTGGCTAATTGGTACTACTGAGATTCAAATTTGTGCTAAATTTCAGCTCGATCCTTTGAGCGATTCCTAAGATACAGCGATTCTTCGAAAATAGTTTCTTGCCGATATCACCTGGACCGATTGGATTCTTTTTTCAAAATACTCGTCACGATGATACGTATTTAATTGGATTGAAAAAAGATCATTACATCCTGAGCAATGTAATTTCATTCTCGTTTTTTCATTTTTTCCTTAAAATTGCTTGTTCGCACGGAAACTTGAAAAATATTAGAGATAGAAACTTGACACTTAGTATGATTTTAGGTTTCATGGTAACAAAGTTTGGGATGCTGGATAAACGAAATCTTTTGGTTACTATCTCAAAAACTATTTGTCCGATGTCATTTTTTTTTCTTTCAAAATGTGCGTTTTCAGGCCATTTATCTAGATCTAACAAAATATGGGTACCATCCCATTGAAATCATTCAAGATATCGTCATTTTTGTATTTTTTGCTCGGAGTTCACTTTTGCGCACTATGACATGGGTAAAAGTCAGCGAAACATTTTGAAACTTTGGTTTCTAGTTAGGATTGTAAAGGTTGTAAAGATTGTTAAGGAACATTCCTATATCAAATTTGAGGTCTATGTATTTGATAGTTCTTGAGATGAAATAATTTACCCAAAATTTTTGAGAAAAAAAATAACGCATCTATATTTCAACGTCCATTTTCACAGCAGGATTATTGAGGCAGCCATACAACATGAATATTGTTGCATGAAATTGCAAATTTATTTTATAGAAATAGGGGAAAATGAGTGCGAGAAGCCTTAATATTTTCAAAAAATGGAAATCCGTATGCCTTCATTTTTTGAAAACACATTGGGATTCATTCGGAAGCCTACTACTAATGAAATTTCGTAGAAATGAAAATAGGGGAAATAAACATGGAGAGCAGCAGTCATATGTAATCTTTCAAGTGGCTTCTGTCACACTGCCTGTTTATTTAACTAATTCAATAATAATATATTTTTCACTCTAAAAATAATCGTTTCTGAATTGTAACGAATTTTTCCCCTTTCAGAATTTCACCAAAATTTAATTGGATGCCTAAAAATATTCTTCTGAAAGTTTGAGCCATTTCCAATATTCATTCCTAAGAATGTCGAAAAAAAGAAATTATTTGCAGAATCTCGTTCGAAAGACGCTGATTATCCATGCTTTATTTTCGAACGTTTCCTAGCCAATTCGATGAAGAAATTGGACCACTGAAAATCTGTAAATAAAAAGTATTTCGACGTTTTCATTTTACGGATAAAATTTAATATTCGTTGATTTTGGGATATACCTACGTCTTGGTTTCATTAAACATAACCTCGAAAAACAGAAAAAAACTTGGAAAAACTGGAGATTAATTTTGTTGATTCCAACCTTGGCATTCAAGTTAATCTAATTATCAATCACTCCAATTAGTTTGTCAGTTCTTAGCACTTATCACTGAGAAATTACTTCTAATTCAACTCATTATAAACAAATACATGTGTAGGAAACATGCTCTGATGTACTTTATGCTTGCACGGTTTTTTTTCTTATGTGGGGTTAGAAGTCCGCTTTTAAATTCACGCGCATTTTTTTGAAACATTGAGGTATCATCTTTTACACCGC